CAAGGCTTCACTGATGGTATGTTTGTACTGGATGATTGACAACCAAGCAGTAAAACAAGACTCAAATCAACAATGGCAGCTACCATATTCTATTCTGACAGATTCCCCTAAAACATTCAACCTCATTTAAAATATCACTTTATTTTGTTTATATGTTGTTACCTTTGAAAGTGCACTGAATGTATTGGTTTGCTGCACATATTAAGTGTAAGCAGAATGTGCCATGTTGCTGCAGCCTATGAATAGGTTTGAGAAAGTTACTGTATAAAATAAAAGGTGATGTTTTTTATGGTGGCTAATGTACACTAAACACACCTTGCATCTGCTACCAGTTAAAACCGCTGAGCAGTGCCCTACAACCGAACCTTGTTCTTTATTTTATTTGCTAACACACCACACTGGATACATCCAGTCTTTGTAGGCTTTGGAGCACTTCATTGCTAGTAAATGAAAGGACGAATACAATAAAGTAGCTGGAGACTTTCTTTTCAATTTGAATAAAAGCTTTCATTTTTGTTTAGACAGCAATTTGGCTAATTATATTTGGAGAACTTGTATGTTATAGCTGGAGCAGAATTTCACAACCTTTTTACCCTGAGGAACCATTGAAAAAATGCACAAAATGCTGAAATAATTTTCTTATCTACAGCTCACAGTCATAGGCGTGTGCAGCCTATTGCATTAGGGTGTGCACAGAAAAGTACAAAGCCGCAGCCACGCTCCGTCACAGCTTCCCAGTTACCGAGGACTGTGGCTATGTGAGGAATGTAAGTGGCAAGTGCTGCTGAGCTCTGTATCCCCGAGCCGGTCACAGATCTTTGTGATCCCCCCACCGGCTCAGTGACTAAAAACACGGTGCCGGTGATCTGTACACCACAGCAACGAAGTAATAAAATGAACTAGGATCACACTAATCCAGCACGTTATTAATCTGAGTTGCCCCACTCAAGCGGAGGCCATATTGAGTGGGGCACGTGAGAAATAATAACGTGCTGGATTAGTGTGATCCTAGTTCATTTTATTACTTCATTGCTGTGCTGTATGTGTATAGGGCAATGCCTTGGCTGGCGCTTGTGCAAAACAAGTTTCTTGGGCAAACCTCTTAGTTGTAACGAAACGGGAAGTCAGGCGGTCGCAGAACTCAATAAGTTCTCAGTGTCGACAGATCACTGGCCGTTGCGGTTTCAGTGTTGCACTTGGGGTGATTAGGGTGTTCCCTAGCAACACCCTGTGTGCATACTTATGCTCACAGTATGAACTCTTTAATATGAAACCTGTTTGGTTTTTGCTGCACAAATGATCAATTCTGGGTCGAACATGAGAAGTACACACACATAATAATGGTCAGAACAGATGTGTACCGAAAACTGTAATGTCCTTTTACATGTGTTCAAAGAAAAAGTGACTACTTCAAGTGTGAGAAATAACAGTAAATTCCTCCTACTAGGGACTTGTCAACAGGAGGTAAAAAGTCCACAAAATGCCAACAGCGTTCTTTGCTACAATACCACTGTTACTAATGCCATTCTCCAACCAACAAGATAAATATATTGGTGAACTTGGATAAAAATGTTACCTCTTTGGATAGGTGTAGTAAGAAGCCAGCTGAACTCCTTATCAGCCATGACTGGAAAGTCTATATATGCTGGAACGCGCATGTTTGCAGAGACAATGCCAGCATGTGATTCACATTTTTAGGGCCACCGGCCCAATACATATAAACAGTTTTTATACCCAAACAGTGGACATAAAAGTGATTAAGATTCATGCAATAAGCCATGTAAAAAGCACAGGTACTTGTATGTGGCCCTCCAACAGGGCAGCTGTGTGCACTATTCAAGAAACCAATCAATTAGTGGGAGAGGGCAAAAATCACAGAAATACTTGATTCCTTTCTCAATGGTTCCGTGTCAGTCTACCCACCTTAGGGACTAGTGAAGATGATTAATCCCCTTAATACTTAATCCCCGTACCATGGAGTTTGTCAAAATATTGTGCCAATGGACTAGTGGTATTTAAGGTACAATAACCCTCAAATGTTCACCAATCTTTAGGCGTAGTTCATGTTTGGGTTTACCAATGTAATATTTTCCATGCAGATATATGATTTAATCTCAAAACAAACATGTCATGTCAAAAAAACTGAAAAGGTCTTAGCTATTTCCACATCTGGGCAAAAGGCACAATTGCCACAACACTACATACCATACATCACATTTTTATTCAGCCATGTTTCTTTTTTGGCTGGAACATATTCAGATATCACTGAATGATCTTTCAGGTTTGTTGCCAGTTAAGCTAACAGGGGCCTAATTGCTCTTCAAATGTGCCAGTGTTTCCATCTTTATGTAGAACATTAAATCTATTTGATCTCCATAATCAGTATGAATAGCCTCTGTCTAAAGCTGCCCATACACCTTGCGATCATCAGACGAAACTTTTCGTCCAATGATCAAACCGTCGTACGATTTTCGGATCATCCTGCCCCGATTATCGCAAGGTTGGATCAGCGGTAATTAAAAAGAAAGCACCTGGACGAATTGCGGTACTCTACCGCACGTATTTTTATCTGCGCATGTGCAGTGGAGATCGTACGAATTTTGATATACGGAAACGCCACCAACCTTGCAAAAATCGTACGATCGACTGAAGTTTTCTAACCTTCTAATTAGACAAAAGTCGATCGCTTTTACGGTATTTGCGGTTGTACACTGCCCATCAACCTTACGAATATCGGACGAAAACGGGATCGCATACGAAAATCGACCGATATTCGTAAGGTGTATGGGCAGCTTAAATCTCCTAACAAGATCTTCAGACACTATACAATACTTAGTGCTAGAACAATGCGTTTAGATGTTAGGACATTTTCCCTGGGAATACCTGTAATGGTAGAAGGGGGATGGTGGCTGGCAGTGTGCAGTAGGGCATTTCCTGCAGTAAGTTTATGGTAAGTACCCATTTGTAACTGCCCTTCTTAAACCCCTGGTTTTAGTGATTTTACTGTCAATAATAGTAAACATCAAATAAATATTTGTAGTATTGTGCCTCTCCAAACCACCAGCACATCATCAAGTACACCCAGAGGGCGTTGTACTACTCAAACTCCCACATGCCGTACACCACCTGCTGCTCCCGCCAGCTGAGGTGTAGGTATGCTTAGGAGGGTGCGTACGCTGCCCCCATGGATGTGCCACATGTTTGATTGTAGTACTTAGCCGCCAAAACAAAGTGCACCAAAGAATAAGTTGCAACATCTGCAAGATGACCTCATATAGTCATCGTCTTTTGATCCATACTACTTAAGCATATTTGCTACAGCTTCCAAACCCATTTGATGAGAGACTGAGGTATGCAAAAATTCTACATTAAACACAACCTTAATTTGGAATCCCTCTAACCATCACAGGAAATCACTGGTATCTAACACAAAAGATTGTAATAACCGCACCAATGACTTCAATGTCTCGCCTACAACGTACAAACTTGCCAAAATGCTCTGTCGGATTTCATATTGCAAATAAAATTGGCCCACCTGATGGAGCTGAGAGATTTTTATGTACTTTTGGGGTAAGATAGAATACTGGTTCATTATATTTATGAACCCACATACTGTATAGCTTCTCTCATTTTTTAAATATTACCTGTTGCCAAGCTTGACTCAGTAGGTCATTTACTTTCTGAACAAGAAGAGTAATGGCTTTTGAAAGATTCAGGAATAATCTCTCTCATCCCTAAATTGTATCAATGCCTCAGTTTCATAAAATTCATTTGTCATTAAAACCACATT